TTTTCATTTTAAAAATTTTAATGATAGAAATTATCATTTTAGGGTTGAATTTTATTACCACAAAAGTCACTTTATTTCTTTTTGTCCAAGTCACTTCTCTTTTTGTTCAGTCACCTCGTTTCTTTTTGTCCAAGTCACTTCCCTTTTTCTTTGTGAGTATCGGGAATATCTCCATTCATAGGTTTGAGATCCGCATCTATGAATTGGAAGATCCGAATCATCAATTCTGTAATCAGTTATTAGAATCCATAGGTGTTCAAATCGTTCCTTTGAAGAAATTGAAACATTTCTTATTGGATGATCATGATATTTCCTAAAGACTAAATTTCTTGATCAATGGAGGAATAATATTACAATTTTTGTTCAAAAAGATACCAAAGTGGGTGATTCTGATTTTATATTATAATTTCCCTATTAATTCCCATTTTAATTTTCCATTTTCTGATTTTTTATAATTATTTTTCAAAATAATTATAAATTTGGAAGGAAATTGGTCATTTCAATGTGAGGAAAGACCCTTAACATTGGAAAAATCAGAAAATGTTCTTAAGGGTGGAGGGAAAAATCCCTGAAATTTTCATATTTTTTTGTCTTATATTTAATTTTTAATAATTAAAATACTCTATGGAGTATTTAATATTTAATTAATTAAAAATTAAATATAATTAAATTATTTTCCAATTTTATTTTTATTATTTTCACATTTGTTCACTGAGTTTAGAGGTATTTTATTTTATTTTATTTTGATTTTTCACATTAAGTTACGAATTTTTGAAATTTTATTTAATTTTCTTGATTTAATTAATTCAAAAAATCTCAATTATCCACTTAACCACACAATGCTGATCGGATCCTCAGTCGTCGAAGGTCCACATCGTGCTCCGTGATTGGGTGCACTTCTCACGTGGTTGCCACGTTGTCCCGCGATCCGGTGCTCTCTTCCCGCAGTCTCTTGGTTCGACTTATTTTTAGTTGTCCATTCTAATACACGAAAACGTACGACATCGATTCATCGTCCCCACGAGACAGAGAACCGAGTACCATCCACGATCAAACCCTAAGATATCGTTTGATTCCCAACCAAATCACTCGGGGTTTGTTCCTATAGCTTCATCTAAGTTAGATGAACTTTTCTATATGGCTAAGTAAAGGTGCATTACACATTTTCTTCGTAAAAGACCAAATTCGAGGCTAAATTTAGGGATTTTGAATCATACCTTGTCCCAAGAGGTGTGCCCTCGATTAGGCTTGATAAAGAGCTTCACCTTGATGTCACAAACTTCCTCCTTGCTTCAATTTGAGCTGAAATTGGTCCTAGCTATGACCTAGACCAAATGGTACCATGGTTTGGTTTTGTGATAGGTTAGAGGTCGCGGGAAGGCTCAATTTTGATTGGAGAGAGTGTCTTAAGGCTTGGTGAAGCTTGTGCGAGGGTTGAATTTGAGTTTTGAAAAAGTTGACGTTGGGGCCAAAATTGGTCCTAGTTTTGGGTGGTGAAATTAGGGTTTTTTGGTTGAGGGGAAGGTTTGAAAACAATGGGGATAAAATGGCTCGGTCAAGAGGAATGTCTTTGTTGTTGGGAGCAAGAGGTCTAGGAGGATGAGTAGGGAGTTTGGTGCGCACTTAGGGCTCTCGGGTTCCCTCCTTTTGTAGTCATGGGAGTGGTGGGGGGAGCTTGGCATGGCATGGTGGTGCTTAGGCGGCTCCACAGAGTATTCGTAGAGAATTTTTAGAGGTTTTGGGTAGTGGGGTGAGAACTTTTGCAAGTTTTGATGCCTTGGCCATGGAGAAGCCAATAGTGGAGAAGAAGGCATGGAAGAGGGCTTAGTTTGATTGGGGAGCCTTTTGGTGGGTGGCTCAGAAGAACATTGGTCCGGTCTTAGCTCCCCAAGGCCTGGTTTGACCTCTTCAAAGGTGGGTCAAAATGTCCATGACCAAGGTGTCATGTGGCTTCCCCCATGGTGAAGTGTGTGGTTTTGTCCTCTAGTGCTTGGAATTGACTTGGGTTGTCTTGTAATGTTATCCACTTTTCATGGTGGGTTGACCTTGGGTCATTGGTAACCCTTTAAGAATGGGCTATAAGCTTGATGGGCCATGTGGTCCAGGTTCGATTTTATCGTTTTGTGCTTAGGCTAATGAGTTAGGTTTAGCCAAATGTCTTAGGCCC